GATAAATGGAGAAGAGATTGAAATTATCAAAGACTTCACATTGCATGATTCTACAATCTATGCCAATGGAAGCAGCAGTCAGGACATCAAACTATGTATACTCCAAAAAAAAACTCATTGCCCTCGAGTCAGATCTGACTCATAGCAACCCCTCCTTGGGTTTCTGAAGCGGTATCACTATGGAAGTAGATTGCCCAATCTTCCTTCCGAAGAGTGGCTGGTGGATTTGAACCATCAGCCTTCTGGTTAGCAGTCAAATGCCTTAGGCACTATGCCACCAGAGTTCCCAAATGACATATAGTACTGGGCAAATCAGCTGCAAAGGACCTCTTTTAAGTGCTAAAGAGCAAAGATGTCTCCTTGAGGAGTAAGGTGTGCCTTATAAAAGCCATGGTATTTTCAATTGCCTCATATGCATGTGAGAGCTGGACAATGAATAAGGAAGGCAGAAGGCCAAAAACTGCTAAAAAGAACTAACAGGTCTATCCTGGAGAAAGTGCAGCCAGAATGCTCCCTAGAGATGAGAAGGGGCAGACTTCTCTCACATACTTTGGTCATGTTGTCAGAAGGGACCATTCCCTGGAGAAGGACGTCATGCTTGGTAAGGTGGAAGGTTGACGAAAGAGGGCAAGGCCCTCAACAAGATGGATTGACACGGTGGCAGTGGCAATGGGCTCAAGTATAGCAAGAATCATGGAGGTGGCTCAGGACCGGGGGGTGTTTTGTTCTGCTGTGCATGGGGTCACTATGAGTCAGAGATGACTCGACGGCACCTAACAACAACAACAACAACATATATAAGCTTTACTGGTTTTGCTTCTCTAGAGAACCCAGTCTAACACAAGTGCCTTCCAGCATGAAAGGCTCATCTTCAGGCACTGTATCAGACAATGTCTCATGGTTGTTCATCAAGTTTTCCAGTAAAGTATCAGTGTTTCACTGCTATTCATAAGGTTTTTACTGGCCAGTTTTTTTGGAAGTGGATGGTTCTATCCTTCTTCCTAGTCTGTCTTGGTCTGGAAGCTCCACTGAAACTTGTCCATCATGAATGTTGTGTTTGAAATACCAGTGGCATAGCCTCCAGCCTCATAGCAACATACAAGCCACCGCAGTACAACAAACTGACAGACTAGTGGTGGCTCTTGAGTGTAGAATAGCTAAAACAAGAGGGAAAATGATGAAGTGAAAGAGCTGAACAGGAGATTTCAAAGGGTGGCTCAAAAAGGTAAAGTATTGTAATGGAATGTGCAAAGACCTGGAGTTAGAAAGCCAAAAGGAAAGAATATGCTCAGCATTTCTCAGGGTGAGAGACCTGAAGAAACAATTCAAGCCTTGGGTGGCAATATTGAAGGATTCTTTGGACAAAATATTGAATGATGCAGAAAGAATTTTTAAAAGATGGAAGCAATACAGAGTCACTGTACCAAAAACAATTGGTTGATGTTCAACCATTTCTGGAGGTAGCATGTGATCAAGAACCAATGGTATTGAAGGAACAAGTCCATGCTCTACTGAAGGCATTGGTGAAAAACAAGGTTCCAGAAATTGACAAAATATCATTGAGATATTTCAACAAAGGGATACAGCACTGGAGGTGTTCACTCGTCTATGCCAAATTTGGAAGACAACTGCCTTACCAATTGACTAGAAGAGACCCATATTCTTGCCCATTCCAAAGAAAGGCGATCAAAAAAAAAAAAAATGTAGAAAGTATAGAATAATATCATTAATATCATGAAAATAGAAATCAAA